CTCAAACCTGTATTCTTCGCTATTATAGAAAATACTGTAAACAAATAGGAAGGAAAAGCAATTGTTTACTTGTAAAAAGGCTGAATGTTAAAATAAAATGAAAATAATTTGTTCCGTGACAGATAGGAAACCGTTCGTTGCCTGTGGTTTCTTTGGTGTGATGATCTCGTCTGTGATTGGTTACATCACAATAAACATTCCAGACATATTTTAGGTGTTCACGCCAATATGATCACCGCTGTAATCCCTCCTGGAGGTTGGTAAATTGATAATACATGATGGTCATTGAACAGAGTGGAGAGCAATTTGGTCTGAAATCATACGCGTGATTGGAGCGCGAGTTCGATTCGAGATCAGAAGTATGGTTTCAGACTAAAATTGCACGACACGAAGTAAAATTATCACTTTATTACAGACCATTTTGAAATCGCACAATTCAATCCGTACCAGCAGTGATTGGCCGTGGCACCAGACAAGTTAGCTCGTTATCCCCCATACTCGTTAACATATATTCTGAAGCTATGCTAAGAGATGCTAGCGCTTTAAGTGGTGTGAATGAAGGTATTCAAGTGGGAGGTCATCTCATTAAGACAGTGCGTTTTGCGGATGATCAAGCAACCTTAGCCAGTTCAGTTAAAGGTCTGCAACTTATGATGGGTAAAATGCAGGAAAGCTCGGGGGAATATGATATGAAGATCAATGTTAAGAAGACTAAGGTGAAGAAAATCTGTAAGAGGCCTGGTGACGAATTCACGATCTTTCTTGAGGGTAAACAATTAAGTCAAGAATCGTCGCACTTTAACTACCTTGGGAGCCTCATTACACAGGATGGATCCTGTTAAAAATAAATTAGATCGAGAATAGCCCGAAAACGCGTTTACTAAGAAAAAAAAAACTGCTGACAAAAGCCTTCATCGCGCTAGCCTTTGCCTGAAGAAGAGAATAATAGACTGTCATCTGGGGTACTCTTCTGAATGGAGCCGAATGATAGACCTTAAAGAAAGAGGACGTGCGAAGGCTGGAGAGCTGTGGGATGTGGCTTTGGAGAAAGGTTTTAAACATATATTGGTCTGACAAAGTCTGTAACGAAGAAGTATTGAGGCGTGACGGTGAGGAGAGTGCCATCATATCTGTTATCAACAGAAGACAGAGAGTCTGGCTTGGTCAAACCCTACGACATTGTGATCATGTCTCATTAGTTATTGAGGGAAGAATACCAGGAAAAAGACCACCTGGAAGACCTCAAGCGGAAATGCTGGATAGAGTGAAGGATGGCAGCTTTTACGTAGCGGTCAAAATGCGTGCCTTAAATCGAGAACTATAAGGAAGGACCTGCCTGTGGGCAGATCAAATAGCCTGTTGAAAAGCGGAAACAAAAGGGCTTTTTCATCTCATTTGTATTCGAAACAGAAATGATGCGATATAAAGCAAGGTGCGACGGTGCGACGTGGTTTTAGAACATAAATAACGCGATTTAGAACAGATGTGATTGTTTGATTCGTAAATAAATCACACTGCTGAGAGCCAATCAGATTGAAGGGATCACCAGCGATTTCAAAATGAAAAATTAGAAAAGCCTGATAATCTTTGATAAGACAGCATTGATCTTTATTTTGTTATTTTAGGGGGTACTCCGTACCCTGGGATAAGCCCTATGAGGCTATGCAGTTTACTTAAATCTGGATATCGGATGGAGAAACCTAACACATGCAGCGATGAAATGTAAGTCAGAATAGAAATAATAAAAGACCTCCGAACAGAGGACATGATGAAGAAATACTTACATAGTCCTTCAAACAGTTTTTTTTCCTAAAATTGTTAGCCTTTTCCAAGGAGTGGAAACTTCAGCGCGCCTCTTTCCTTTACGTTGCCCCATTCTAAAAAGAGCCTATAGAACATAAGTGTCTTCAATATTCAAAGTAAATGGACACATATCTTTGTGTAGTGGTATTTTTAACTATGTTTTCCTTTCTAAACAGATACAAATTGATGATGAACTGCTGGAAGGAGGATCCAAATGAACGACCCTCATTCGTTGAACTAAGACCGATACTGGAAGAGATGATGACGGAAGATACCCTTTACTATTATTTCAGACTCCTGGATCAGAGCCAGCCATGTTACCGTGAGGCATCCGCTACTAACACCAGTAAAACTAGTACTCTTGATACGAAGCTGTAATTTCTGTAGGGTCTCTATGGGTTAATATTTTTCTTTAGATTGTTATCGGGGTCTCGGGGGGAAGGGGAACTCCAATATGAAGGAAATGCTTGACGGATAAGTAGATTGATAAGTGCAGTTGCACCTTCTGCAACACCGAGAAACTATACCCATAAACTGAACACCGTTGTTTTCATCTTCACTGTTTGCCAGTATTCATAATCAGTCTCCTCAGTTACGATGAAAAATGGCAGCCAAAGTAGAACACTCTCTAACTCATTATGACAACGTCTTTTTGCATATAGATATTCCTTTACGCACAACCCTAAAGCTACGCGCAAACAAACCCAACAACTTCCAACCATGTTGAACAATGTTGCGAGTTGTTGGCCAACAAGGTTACGTCCGTTTGCAGGGGGTTAAGTGATACATTTATGGTTAAAAATATTGGCTTTTTGTCTTGCACAAAACTGAGACCAAAAACTTTAATGTCTACGTCTAAGAGAGACTAGCAACCCTGTCATTTTCATGTGGGAGTTCCCTCGCCCAGCAAGGAACAGGACTGAGATGACGAGCACAACTGTTTAATGGGTTATTACAATAAGATAGT